TCACACATGACCTTCCACCATCACATAAAACCTCCTACTGACATTGGCTCACTTCTTCAGGGTTTCCCCGTACATCTGAAAACTTTTAAACACTCTAAAAGACTTTTTGTAAATAAAATTTCTTTAAGTGGTACCACCAGAGAATTGAAAACCCTCTCGATCGAGAAGGATATGTCCAAAATTAAGAATAATTCGTTAAAAATATAAAATAATTGTAGGTACTCACAATATTATGCTGATAACGATATGATTAGTTCAATAGGTTATAATAGAGTACAATTGAAATCGAAATACTTACATATAACGTATAACCAATTATACATATATAATTTGATTTTTTTGTAAATAGGGGTTACCAACAGTGAAGTCATTTCAGCCCCACTCACTGATGTTGACGCCATCGGCCTTATGTTCTACATAAATCACACACTCATAATAATGTAATTATTTACAAATTTAATACAAATATGTACTTTACTACAAATACATCATTATATATATATATATATATATATATATATATATATATATATATATATTGCACACGGCAGAGTATTTGGGTCTTTCTTCTTGGATCTTGGAGGAAACGGGGTTGTTCTATTGTATATAGTAATAATAGCTTGGGTGAATGTATTTATTAGCGTGAATGTCGAGTCCCTATCAACCCTCAATTAGGACAGTTTTATAATATGTGTAAAGGGTTATGGAGGAATATCGAGCACTCCATCACCCTAATTGAATGGTGTGTAAATAGTATTGAATGTATTTAAGAATGGATGTGAGTACGAATGGGTTTGGAACTGAATGCATTGGGTGCTGAATTGACCTAGCTGATGACAGTACCCCCTCCCCGGAGCCCAACCTGGGTGGGTGGACGGATAAGACCGAGGTCAGCCCCCGGACTGCCAAAACCCTCGGTGGGTGATTCTCGAGTCTGCTGGCAATTTACTGTAAATATAAAAGCTGGAATTGCCTGGGGACTACGAGAAGCGACTAACTCGGCACATGTTTGTATGTGCGTAAGTACAAGTGCTGATTTGAGTCTATACAAATCCAAATTCAAATATATAAATTATTTACAAATAATTTATACCCACAGTGGTATAGAATATTTATATGTGAAGGAACAGCACGTTTCTCTTAAGAAACTGTACGGGGATCTTACAATCGACTTGCACGCTCGGGTACCATCTTCATGCCACGGTTCATGCCTGTCGCTCCCTGTAAGGGGCCAAGGTATGGCACTCTTCGATCAGATGTGACCCACTGAGAGAATTTTCTCTACAAGCGGTACACCTGCGTGGTTTTGACTATATTCAAATAGCCAAAAATGTTACTTAATACTTAATATTTATCTAAGTTAAATATTTATATGAAGAAGTGGTATTAAACAACCTATCCAATTTCCCTCGTTGCGGAACAGGGACAAAGCGATTTCGTAAATTCGGCCGGCGTCGGTTGACGCAAGCGTTGTTGACACGCGACACATTACTGTAAGATAAATGTCGAGGAAAATACTTTCAAATGAGGTTTTTCTAGGCACCCCGGGGGTTCCGAATCCCCGCAAAAAAAGGAAAAATAAATAAAAAATTATGTCTGTAATAGCAGTGATTGCAAAATTTAAAACAAAGCAATTTAGTCCATACGTTAATTTATAATAATGATTTGTACGATTTTTCAGCTTAAACGTACTTTATGCTGAAAATTTTCAACTTTTTTTGTATTGTTTATTAATCGATGTGCTTAGTACAAATAACCCGATAGTTTTGTAGAGAAAAAAATGGTTAAATTAAAGGAGTTAAATTACGTAAGAAAATACTATTGTCAAATAACAATGTAAGGCAAATTAATACCATATCCTTAATAATATTTGTCTATTCAGAAAATGCATAATTTATAAGTGCTCTAGTTGATACCAAAGTCTTAAGAAACCTAGCAGCTTCTGGAACTTATATATTTATACATTTCTACTATTACTCAAAAAAATTTCCATTGCAGTCTTTTGAATTTTATATTCGTTAACTTAAATACCGAAATAACAACGTTAATATCAAAAGAAATGATCACGCCGAGGGTACCATTGGCAGGGAAGACGGCAGGATGTGTAGAAGGGATGAAAAGGAGGGGGTGCGGTGTTCGGGTAAAACAGACACCATTAGTGTTGCGACCAGTTAGCTGCGATCCTCAGTTGTCCGTCGGATCTCATCGAGAACAGGCATTCGAAAAAAGTTCAATTGTAAGTTTATCGGTGCTTAGCGTAGATTTTACAACGGGCTTTCTCATGGAAAGTTAACACTGTTTTCTGTTTCGTCAGTTTTCCCTCTGACACAATGACGGACTTTTCGCCAAATACAGATAATACATGTGTATGTTACAGTGCATAAATTTTTTATGCTTACAAAAAAAGGCTGGCTTTTTATCTAGAATCTATAACAATTTAAGTTCTAACGATCTTCAACCTTGAAAATATACATATAAACTACCTTAAAAATGTTTTATAATTACATAACCGCAAATAGCATCACTTATAATTTTCGTTTACGTATTATATTACATATCACATCCCTAGTGAAATAATCATCCCACTAAATCAACGAAATAAGACTCCTATATCTTTTATATTAATAGACTCTTTTTAATATATTTTTCTCCAAAAATTATTTATCAGTTTGTTACTATCTTCAATATTTTGCTGAAGTAGTGTGTTATGAACTCTTTCGATTTTTTCGTTATACATATTTATACGCTTATTTTAACATAGATTGAAAACGCGTTTGTGTATTTAACTTTATTTTACACAATTTATTGGAGTGCATACTCGTAGACATTGCCATCGATAGCATAATTTTTGTAACTTTTACGCAATGAACTCAAGGTCTAAACAACAAACAAGGAGTTTATGCTGTTTTCTTTTTTCATTTGTATTTGGTTTCCCCTGCTCTCTTTCAGTGTAACCGTTTAATTAGACTAGTCATGTCATTATAGCAGTCCTTAAATCTAATCTAAAACTAATATTTAAAAGATTGGTTGGTCGTTTAATTCATAAAATTCAAGACAATAAAACGACTAACGAGGTATAAATATGTCATAATTTTTTCACTGACGCTACACAAAAATAACATAATAGACCAATAAAGCTGATATAAATAAGCAAAATTACTAGGAATCCAGTTAATATTGCAATTAATTATAATAAAGAGCTTGATATCATATTCTATAAAATTTATATGCTATATGATTATATAATCTTAATATTATATTTCTTTATAATTATAAATTTAATGTTCGAGGGCAGTAACTGTTTTTTTTACCAAGTTTGTTCAACGCTTTTGTTGGCGTTATGTCCATTTTTGCCGGACGACTACTGCAGAGCAACTTTCACTGGAAGCCCTGACCCGGCTCGGACTTCGCATAACAATTTACAATGTTATAACACGATCAATGGGCATGAAGGTTTTTAAAATCGTGCTAGACTTTCGTATTTATTAGTCGAACGAATCCCCCGACCTTGTATGCAATCTTTAACAGGGCTCGAGTTAAGCCTCAACACTCAAAATGCGAAAAAACGTCTCCTGCACAATTAAACAAATTAGTAATGGACCAATACCACATAGAACTATGCATCTTTCAATTTTGTTTGATGAACCTCAATTAAATTTGACTCTTGTTTCATTTGAAGGTTCCTTAGCAGGTTTGCAGTTTGAACATCAGTCAGTTGATTTTTAGATATTTTGTCGAGATGTCCAGTTGAGACCTATATTTCGTAAAGAATGTTAATGTCTTAAAAGTTGTGGGATGGGTACTATTTTTACCATATCCATGGTAATCAAAGATTTCAAATTATGGTTTGTTCCAATCACTGATTTTGGAGTTTTTTATCTTCAGTGGTGAGTTTATTTCCTGCTTGGCCTGTTTTCGTAGGTGTTCGCGTTTGAAATAGGTTTTTTGAAAACTAACCATTTAAGATGGCGATGCGGAAACGTTACCAACTGGAATGGGCTGATCAGGATGATCAGAAATGACCAAACCAATGATGATAATTTCATGATCAACTCATCTGCATCGTGTTGTCAAACAATGAGTGTAATGTGTAAGGGACTTGGCGTTTACATCTTCCGTTTGTCTTTTAAATTCCGCTCGATTGAAGATAAATGAGATTTTGAGTTCTGATTGAAGGTCTTACTGATTACTATTTACAGATCCATGTTACTTTCCTTTTTTGAATGATGATTGATTTTAAGGTGGCAATGACTGTTTCCTTCTCAACTATTATTCAGCAATAAATATTCCCCTCCCAGTCTGTCTTTAAATTATCTTCATTAAGTAGCTGTTAATGTTATTACGTCGCTACCCCAATTAATGTGCACTGTAAAAATTATTATACGTACAATCGCCCAGAAACTAATGCCGTAAGGCCAACCAGGTTTGAGGGTTGTGGATGGATTAATATCTGGATGGCTAAGTTTATGGGAAACTAAACAACTTATAAAATGTTTACTTATCTAACCACATAAACGGCAATTTTTCCTATTAAAGTTTTAAGTTTAAGTCGGAAAATTTAATCGGTTGATTTTCTTATTAAACACCACGAGTTACCCTGGCTCTTCACTGTCTATCGTACATTTTTGTCTCCTTGATTTTTATTAACCTACAAAAGTATAACTCTGACAGGCGAACTGTTTCTTTTACTCCTTTCGCATAATATTCATAATGCATATTAAGCAGTGCAGTTTTCTCAATTGTGCCCCATTGTAAGTACTAAATTTGTTTAATCTTGTTTTCAAGTTTGATAGAAAATTTTGAAAAGCCTATGCCTAAGCTTCACATGATTCATGTGTAAAAATACGCTCTAGTCATTAAAGCATTTCCTATACTCCCACCATTACATGTCGGACATTTTACATTTCACGCTTAAGCACATTTGTGTTCTTAACATTATTTTAATTTTTGTTTTTGTTATGCTGCTTTCTCATGCCATTCCATTACATTTGACTGCACAGATTAGCATCTCCGCCGACACGATAAATTTCGGGGCATCACAGTGTCTGAAGAATAGTGGACATGTCCGCAGTTTATCCTTTTCTCAGGCTGCTGGTGAGTAGTATTTCACTTTAACATTTAACCCAATCAAGAATAACAACTAATTACGATTTTATTTATAATTTCCAGATAAAAAATTTAATAATAAATATGTTGTTACACCCCCTTTACTGAAAAATATGCGTATTATATTTTTAAAAGCTAAACTGCTTGATTTAGGAAAATGTAACAATACCAGACTTGCTAATAACTAACTCATCGCATAAATTGAGGACTAAATTACAGATGCGTACCAAATTGAACTAAAAGTATACTGTATACATCAAAACAAATAATATAATAATAACATGAAATAGAAAAACTGGAGCAATAGTTTATCTAATTGTTGTTGTGTTTAATATAATTAATAAATGTTCCGTAGTATTAAATACCCCAAGAGTGAATGTCAGCAGAAAGGACTTTACTACAAAGATCAATTTAATAATTATATTACACACAAAAAGAGTCAGAATAATATACGTTAATTTGTTTAAAATAATAAAAATAAATAACAACGAAACCGGAACGTACCGTATTTTCGTAAAAGAACCGTCCGCACAAGCATATTTAATCCTCATAAATAGTATTTAAATCATGCGTAAATTTAGAAAAATTAATGTACCAGGCATGTTAACATCTAAAGATAAGTCTTCCAGTTAACATCTTCCCAGCATCCCTTTAATTAGTAAGTTTTAGTTATACACTTTTCGGCATTTTGCCATCTTTGCCGGAAAAAAATCGATTTTTTATACCTCTAAAATTTCCCTAGGCAATTGTTGTCATTTTGATGTAAATATGGGGGGAGGGGCTCGGACCGGAAATCGTTGCCTTTTTCGGATATCTTACCTAAAGTAAGATTGATCAATACTCATTACTTATATTCATTATAATATAATAACTAAATACATTTCAATTGATTAATTATTCTTTCTAAGATCCTGGTTGAGATAAAAAAGTCAGTGTCATGAGCGGGATTCGAACCCACGACCTTCGGCTGTCTTTTTTATCTCAACCAAGACCTTAGAAAGAATAATTAATTAATTGATTGAAAGAAGTAACTTGGTCAATTGACTACGAAAACGTAAATGAATAAATACATTGTTAAAATAAATTAGCTAGTAAAATAATGCACAATAATTATAATAATAGTGTTAATTTCATTAATTTCAACACTATAATATATATAAGTTAACAAAACATCGATTTTAATCGCTCATCATCACATAATCGCGTCGCCAGTAAAAAGTGGCTCTCCTGAAAAGTTTAATTTTTTGGACTTAACGTACTTTTTCTCCATAATACAATATATAATATAATATACCATCGTATTGACTTCAAATTTTAACCACACAATGTCACATTATAACTAAAAAGACAGACTTTTTCTGAGGGAAAAAAGGAGGAACAATTGGCTAAAACAAAAACAAATATCGCATAATAGGCCATTGTTTTTACGATTTTGTCTTTACGTGTGTAGCTTTTACTAAATCAAGAAGAAAATTAGGCTTTGTATGTGCCTTACGAATGTAATATAACTTTTTGTACTTTTGTTGGAAAGTAATTTAATTGTCGCGGAGAATTTGGGTGAAAGCTTTATTAATTCTGCTAGATACATAAACTGGAAATACCGTTTAATGCAATCCTAATCGGCTGTTTCTGACTTAATTAAGCTGTCTGTGAGACCAGTTTCGAATAACTGGAAAACTAACGGTCACTTATTTTCGACACCGACCTACCTACATTTTACATTATCCGTAAATCGATTAGATTAAACCATCGGGTATTTTAAATGTTCAAACATCAATAATTGTAAATATAAGATTAATTTAATAGTAATTATTACTTGATTAATTTCTTCAGCTTTGATTTTCTTTTTAAGTTTTTGATTGATTTTTGAAGTTGATTTTTTTAATGAATTTAGCATTGTGACCGGACCAAGCGTAACAAAATACGATTATGGAAAAATATAACTTTTATTAGCCTAGTTCAATAGAAATTTTACGTTTGGTTGAATTGTTGAACCATTTAGTTACTCAAGCAAGCAATTTGCCCTTTTATTTCCATGCATAAAAATTGCAACTATCTACCAAAGACAAAGATTATTGAGGAATGTTAACAAAAGGTCTTACAGCATATAAAATATTAAAGGAACGGCCATTTACAGAAATCAAGGTATATGAAGAGACTTTGTGGTGTGTGCAATATAAACGATCAATGTTCTTAAAAAATATTAATGTCGGTAGTTTATAATTTTTAATAATACTGGCGTTTTTAGTTGAAAAATTCCGTATTAATGTACACAATTTTAAAAGCAAATTTCAGGCAAACTTAAAAGATCTATTTATTGTGTTTATTTTGCTAAATCAATTTGAGCACTGTGAAGAATTTTACAAGAACTGAAATATATAAAACCTTGAAAAAATATTTGATAGATTATGAAGTCAGTCTTTAGTACAAATTCAGGAACGAGAGGATTAAGTAAATAATTTCAGTTTAACCTAATACATCTTCATCACATCTTAAAAGATGTTCATTTGGCCTTCGTTGTCGAACGATTTAATTATACAGATCCCACTTTTCACACCCTTTCATTGATCTTCACAACACATTCGTATTAATTTTGTGGAGTCTCAGTTTAAACACGTTTTCGCAATTATGTTAGGGAAATTGCTTCAAAATAGACAGAATTTAAGAACTATCATTTATAAGAAGAAGATGAAAAGGAAGAAGATGAAAGAAGAAAAGAAAAATTTAATTTACATAATTTGATTTTGCAGTAATATACTTATGTTTGTATTTACAGTTAATTTAAATAATATAAACTAAAAAATACATCTAAGTATCAAGGGAAGATAGCCCGTCTGTCAGGGTTATCTGCATAAAATAAAAGTCAATAATAAAAAAGAAAATTACATTTTGCTGGTTTGTGGTAGAAAAATGAAGGATATTACCTAGTCCATGTCAAAAAACAATTGCAACTTGAAAAAACACCACACCTTCATGAGATAAAATACAGTTATCAACGCAAATAAAATTCCTAAAATTGTTCGTATTGGTATTGTTAAGTTTTTCTCGCATTCTGAGGCAGAACCCCAAAATTGCTAAGGCTGCTGAATACGGATGTTCACTCGAAAAGGACCGGAGTCTAAGGTGTCGAACTCGGACAGAATAGAGCATTTCGGCCTTAAAATGAAGAACATCCTCCTTTGCTCCGGAGCTGCAATTTGGACGTCACATTTATATGCTCTTCTAATCTAACCCTGGCTTGCAATTAAATAAAGTTTCTCTGCCTTAATAATTTAAAAAAAAACAGCGAATATCCCATGTTTGATGTTCAAACTTCTTGGTTATCTGGGAGGAGTAAATGTAAGCGTACATCCAGAGTTTGGTCAGGGTAATGAATAGATGACAGAATTCTACTTAATCATTTTCACTGTGGCTGTTTTTAAATTTTTCTAAGTTTCTTTGAGAGCTCTGACCAGGCGCCACATTTCCAGTGTTCCAAAAGAAAGATTACATCCCAAACCCTTGCCAATTCCAGTGGGCAAACCAGGAGCAGCCCTGGCTAATAACCGTATGTGCAGTAATTTTAGTAAATCGAGAATTATCATGTTTTAATACCTTGCAGACATATTCGACGTGCAATTGAAGAATGTGTAATAAGTAAGGTAGAGGAGGCGTCTGTGGCCGCAATGTTAATGCATTGGCATGTAGTGTTAAATACAGTCTTGGCTGGGGAATCGATGTTGCTGGCCCAAAAGATCCTAAGTACTGCTGTTAATCCGACCAAGTAAAATAGGTGACATTTGATTCATTCAAGCAGTGGAAAGTTTGCTTTTATTGGCAGACTTTGGAAGACTCTCCAGTTTGAGTTGGTTTTGTTGAAGTGTACATTTCACTTTGGACGGATAGCCGATTTTACCTGTCGGGCAAATTGCCTCCTCGCCACTCGAGGATCAGCCCGGCAATGGATGAAATTTACATTTATTTGCTGAGCCTGTGTCAAGCACGAACCTACATTAGCGATGAGTAGTCTTCTCATTTCAAAGTAAAATCAAAACGGGACGTATCGGTTTGAAAAGTTCGTGAGCATCGGGCTATCATCACAGGGAAATGGTCTTCACATCTAGTACACCGGTTTTTCAAACTAAACGCTCGTTACAAAAATCCTAAAACACCCAAATTGCGTTAGACAATACTCGTTTTAACTATAAACTTTTTTAAATCGACCCTGATATATACACGTATGTAAATAAAACTATATAAGCAGAAGAGATCTTTTCTTTCTCCTATGCATTATTTAAACATACGCAACAGCTCACCACAGAAGAATGTGATTTTAAATTTCCAGCTTCAGGCTATTATTACTTATTCGAAGAAGAATTCTTCGTGTCAGCACAATATATTTTATTGAACGGAAATGCAAGTTTTTGCACCGCAATATAAAAATAAAAAGCAGATTTTTCAAAGCATAGGCTTTCATAAGTACATTAATAAAACAAATGCTATGCCAAGTTGTAAATTATACATATATACTTACAATTTCGTCAAATGTCAAAATGATTCAGCGTGTAAGTATTGGAATTAATTAAGCAATCATGTTTTCTTACATGATTTTATACATCATACAATTTAAACTTTATTTGCTAATTCAATAATATTTATACATATGATTCACATAGCGTTTCTTGATCGACTGGACCTACATTTTTGGGGAGACTACTATCCTTAAAAAAAGAAGACAGCTTGTCTTACTTCAACTTAACCACCACATGTACTTCGAGACCTCATTGTCGATGTGGTCGTGTCTGTTCGTAATTCTGCAATGTTAATATAAAAAAATAGGATTCTGCCCTGATGATGATCTTATAAAGGCCGAAGCTTGGCAAGTAATCACAGTCTACTTCTTTCTCTACATGACCAGAAACCAGATCCCAAACAAACTTTCCCATTATTGTTACTTTATCATCAATGGGACTGGCCGTGGAAAAGACTTTCGTTTCGGCTTTCTTGGAGCCAAGGTCAGGATATACATCTACATTCTACAGAATACAGGCAGGTCTAATAATGAAAGTCAAAAATCGATGACGTTTGAAATATTGTAACATTACAAAAATAAATGTATAACAAAATCCAAAAATAAAATTGAACGTGACATAATGTACACATTACTGTTTTCACAGCTTTTCAGTTGTGCTTCAGTGTGGGTGATGAAAAGAGGAATAAGAAAACGGATTATGCAATTGTTGTTATCTATACACAGGAAAATTTTAAATTTCACTGAAGGAGTCGGGAGTTGCTTAGTGCCTATCCTTTACTTCGTAAATATGGATATCCACTGACGACCTTTGGGAAATAACATTTTAAAATTCTTCTTCCATGTCCGTGAAACCTTGAACAATGGCTATGGGTGAACTTTTAGTCTCTGAACGGAGATCGTAATAAAATTAATGTTTATAAAACGTAATAGAAGAAGTAAAATATAAAACGAATTCCATTTTTTCGGGAAGGGGTCGCAATGAGATCCCCAGAAATTTAAGACCTTCGATTGATTTTTTTATACGAAACTGACGCAAATTTCAAGACAATACCTGTTAAAAAAAATTTTATTTCTACTTTTCAATATTGTATGAAACATCAGCGAGAAGAAATAAAACAACTGATGTTGAATATGGTTGAGTCTGTTTCAAAATTTCGTGGCAAATAATAAATAAACGAGATCGTTTTAGTTTTCAATTTGCTTTCAGTTAAAATTTAAATGAATGGGAATAAAACATATATTCGAACATTCTTTAAAACTGAGTTTTGGTGATAACTTTTCCCCCTGAAAATAAACAGATTAATATCAGTGCTCTTTTTTATTATTTTTTTATGTTGGAATTGTTATACCAATTGTTATGTTAAACTTTCGTTATTCAAATACAAAGGCTGGAGGAGTGTTTGATGAAACTGATTTATTGACAAATGACATTGCTAGTGATAATGTGTACTTCAATCTCAAACAGGTAAGTATAAGGAACAGTGCTTGAGGAATAGACAAAAATCAAGTTCCCCTTTCTATATGTTTAGTTAAATTTAAGTTTTGTTCAGCATGGTCATCAGTTTGACTAGTAATAATGGAGTCTAAAATCGAATATTGTTGAAGCTGTTTCATTTATAATTTGTTTGTTTGACTGCTTCATTGTTTGATAGTTTTACTTTGTTTTGTTTACTAATCAATGATGATGGTATACATAAATTATACTAATATAATGGTTGTGAATTTGACATACAGCTTACAATATTTTCACGCATAAATTGTCTATATACCAAATTTTTCTCTCATAACATAATTCATATAGAAAGGATCTTTGCAAGGCAAAATTCACAAGCGCAATCTTTTCATGTGTCAATTATACCCACGAGGACTGAAAGTATAATTTTTTTTGCTGTAAACTGGTCTTCATTTGTATTCCTGAAAACAGCTCTAAACTTGTCAAACCAAATCTATTTGGCCAACACCATAACATACACTGCAGATTTTTCTCTATGCTTAATGTTTAAAATCAATAATAATTATTAGCATTAATTATTGATGATGAAATAATAAAACTAAAACATGCAAGAGCATTCATTTAAGTGGCCACATACATTAGGTCATAAATATTTCATAAAGGGAACAATTGTCAGATTAATGAAAATCTATGATAATGTGCAAACATCCAACTTACAGCAAAAGACGATAAAGAAAATGTTTTTCTGAAACTTACATCACACCAGACCGCATCTCACGATTTCTGAATAATTACAGCAAAAGTTATTTTCAATTCATAATGATGCCCAATTATATAAAGACAACAAATCATTTTGATTAATTAACCTACTGGCTTGTAGATTGTAGTTTGTTGTGGAATTCAGTGTTTTAAGAACTATTGCACCTCCATTCTGTTCTTTACCTGAAACCTGTAAATCATAGTTTATTTATGAATCTGATTACTTTTCATGGTTGCAAATATGGTGGTTATTTCTAGTTATCATTCCCCAAACCAATGATGTAATGTTGCTCTACAGTCTTTTAATATATGGTTCGGAATTCTTCTGCCTCTTCAAAATCTACATACTGTGTTCACTGATGCCAATCTTGTTCAGATGCCCGTTAAGTCTGCAGTGTCCTGTCACAAAACCTGTTAGTTCTCATTTTCTTCCTGCTTCTTCTTATACAATCTTAAGAACGTCTTAAATTACAAGACGAATCTTAGATTGCCTTTGTGAAAGTGTTTACTGCTTTGCAACCGTCTTCTGCTATAAAATGATTCTTATAATGTATGAGCCTATCTGACAGATAGGTTTGGCGGTGGGGCAGCTAGACAAAAGCATAATCAATAGAAAGTGACCAAGCTGACGATTCAGAATTCAGTACAATGGTCACTGCTCAGCTATTTGATATGACAACTATATTTTTTCTTTTTTTATGAGGGTTTGCAACATCAGAGGTCGTATCAACACTCAGGGTGCGGTGTTTTTGAACCCCTTTCTATGTCAGGTTCGAATGCAGGGGCGCTGGATTCGAACCCGGGACCTTTACCTTACAGTGATGAGCGCCGTGTCAACGCCTAAACCATTGTGACCACCGACGCCCCCTATCTACATTATTATTTTTTATCCTTCATTCGGATTGTACTGAGTACATCTTTTATTTGAATGAACATGTTTGAATTTCCCCCTGTATTCCAAAGAGATTTTAGAACCAAATAATTCTGCACCTGTAACTTTTATTCTCCAAAAGATGTCAGCATACCCAAAGATTGCGCTTTTTCTAACCAAAGCAGTTTTCACAACTTCCAATTCTTTTTTTTTACTACTTAAGTGCATTAAATCTTATAATCATGTATTTTGTATGGTTACAGATGCTATGGTTACTTATATCAATTATATGTGGTTTGGGGGATGAAGGAAGTGCCCTACCTGGATACAGATTGCCTCAGGATGTTAAACCAACAGCTTACAACCTTAGTTTGGTTACTGATCTAGATACATTCAAATTCCAAGGAAATGTCGAGATAAAGGTTTGAAATTTTCAAATATTTTCAATTTAATACCATAATACTTAATAAATAAGTATTAATTTTCATATTTTTTATATATGTTAATTTTAAACATGAAATTTAATATAAAATACTTAATGGCAAAATATATAATATTTTCAGGTGAAATGCCTTAAAGCTACAAACAGCATTGTGATGCATTCAAATGATCTCTTTATTCCTGAAAGCGAAGTAAATGTTTTTGAGTTTGTTGGAACAGAGATGTCTCCAGTGGGTGTAACTAGCTGTAAAGAAGTTCCTGAGAATGAATTCCTTATAATCAAACTAGCAAAAAGTTTAAAGCCAAACAAGGAATATACATTGCAAATTCCATTCAGAGGTAATTTGACGCAAACTTTGGTAGGGTACTACAGAAGCAGTTATTTTGATAGGACATCCAACAAAACAAAGTATGTACTTCCATACTATTGAGTTCTAAAAAAAACAATTTATTGAGAGATGACTACATTTGTTTCTCTTATAGATGGCTGGGTGTGACACAGTTTGAAGCGATAGACGCCAGAAGAGCTTTTCCATGCTTTGACGAACCAGAAATGAAAGCCAAATTTACAATTCAACTTGGCCATCGAAAGCACTTAAAAGCTATCAGTAATATGCCACAATTAAACCAAGTCCCTATGTAATTTTAATCACTGTTTTAATGTTTATTTATTTATGAAAAAGCTACAAAAATAAATTAAATAAGCTAATAAATTATACTCATATTTATAGGGAAGATAATGAATGGGTGTGGAGTAATTTTGCAGAAACTGTACCCATGTCGACTTACCTTGTAGCATGGGTCGTTAGTGAATTTGACAAAAAAGTTGCGCCAGATAATGGAGACATTACTTTTCGTATATGGGCAAGAGAGGAAGCTGTCGAACAAGTAATTTTAATTACAATTCTTGATACATAGCTAGTCATAATCAACATTACAGTTAGGTCTTTTCCACCATTTTGTTCCATCTATCCTCCAGGTTTGTTTGTCATATTTATTTTAACTGTGAAAAATTTATTGACCTTCAGTGAATCAATTTCTTGGCTTTGCTGGAATATGTGTTTTATCTCACGTCATTTTGCCGTCATCAGTGGTGGGTTGTGTTGTGTTTGGCATGAGTAAATGTGAAGAACTAACAACAATAAAATTATTATTTTAAAAAAATATGAAAATATTAAAAAAGGCCAAATATGTCTGTCCAAACTAGTAAGGATAGACAGACCAAAATGATAGGAAATGACCAAACTACAGATTCATCATCCTGCAGAGTGCAGGCTCCATGGAGAAATCTCACAATACATACTTGTCATTGTTTTGCTTTAGGTTGATTTTGCAAGTGAAGTTGGACCTAAAGTTTTAAAACATTTTGAAAAACTGTTTGACTTAAAATACCCACTTCCAAAAGTTGACATGGCTGCTATTCCTGATTTTGCAAGTGGTGCCATGGAAAACTGGGGCCTCATCACGTACAGGTATGCACACTTTTCTATCTTCTCACTATGATATTTCATATAGAAAGCTTGCATAAATCTTACTTAAAGTTCTCTATGTCTCAAGTATCCATTAATATTTGTTCCATCTTTAACCACCCAGCTTTATGTTTTATAGATTCAAGTACCACGTTTTTCCTTAATCAATGTTTACTGATTGTATAAACCTTTTAGGGAAACCGATTTACTATATATTGACAAGCAGTCATCACTTAAAGGAAAAGAAAGAGTCGCCATTGTGATCGCCCATGAACTGGCACACCAATGGTTTGGAAACCTTGTGACGATGAAGTGGTGGACGGATCTATGGTTGAATGAAGGCTTTGCTACTTACGTCGGTTGTGTTGGAGTTAATTATGTAAGGGTCGACTAAGTGAATTATATATTTTCTCGAATACTAACTATAATTGCATTTCAGGTTTTTCCAGAGTGGAACTACGACAATAACACAGCCTTGGATAACATAGGCCAAGTCTTTGAAATAGATTCGCTTAAATCTTCACATAAAATTTCTGTGAAAATAGGCCACCCATCAGAAATCAATGAGATATTTGACACGATTTCATATAAGAAAGGTATTAAGAAAGTGTTTTCTCTAATTTTCCAATTCTTCAATTAACTTCCATGAATATCATCTTAATATTCTTGAGTGAGATACTAGATACAACCTTTATAGTTTGTGATGATTTCAACCTGCCTAAATATGTATGTATTTACATAAAATGTAATGTCAGTCAATAAAACATGTCAGTCTTACAAAATTCTATAAAATATAATGGAATTTCTTGGATGCACACAACATAATCAAAAAGTCAACATCAATACTACTCTTGATTTAATATTTTCTGATCAACTAGTAACATTGAGATGATAGATGGAGATTCCCTACAGACAATTGCCATCCATGCATCTCTGGTTATATCAATAACTTTAATGAAACCAATTAGGCCTCTTAGGTGCCATAGTTTGCACTATGCTATTTTTCTACTCTTCTTTCCCTTATGTCAATAATTCTAGTGACAGCATTCTTTCCAAACCTCCAGATTCTTTCACAAATAATAGCTTTAACCTTTGCATCCATTCCTTGCATGAAGTAACTGCTAAATTGGATCTATTGGCATCTGCAGGCCCAGATGGAATCCCTCTAATTTTCCTAGAATGTTTTTAAAATATATATTAAAAAACTATCTATTTGTTAATTCCTTACCATTTCATACATACCTTGGCTTCTCTTTATGGTTGGAAATTATTCCGTGTTCCCTATATGCAAATCAAGTGAAAAATCTTGCAAATCAAACTATCGGCCTATTTCAACACTATCACACATTTCTAATTATTTCAATCCCTAATTTATGATTCTTTATATCCTCAGTAGCTCCTTATATAAATGGGTAATGTGGATTTGTTTTTAATAAATTCAATAAATTAGGACGCTTAGAAGAGATATTACACTCGAGCAAAATTACAGACCCCTCAGGGGTATCACAAGTAGTCCTCTCTTCTTCAGTTTATACATAAATGAATCAAATCCTCCATTTATACATAGTAATTTTTTCCTATATTTCAGTAGAAAGCCTTAAGCTTAACTATACAATTGGAACTCTAGAGAAATGCCTCATCTTATAGTCTGACTTAAATCCCTTACAAGCCTGGTTTCTGAACAATCGTATGCAATTAAATATCAATAAATGCAAACAATGAGTTTAAATTTTTTTTTCTATTATGCATAGTCTTTCCATAGCCCCCTAAAGGTATTCTCTGAAATTTGAGATTCCAGTATCATATTCAATACTAAATTCTATACAATTCCAGTCACATATTTCCCACATTACAAAAACTATGGTTTACTAATGATATTTATGATCCTGCCTTCTGTAAAATACTTTACTGTTCCAATCTGCTTCCCTAATCATAAAACATTTCACTACATTGAAAGCATACAAAAGAAATCCTTGGAATTGCCACAGTTAAATTTGGTATCCCTCAACAGAATCACAATTATTCTTTACTTGTGGCTGAACGGCTTGTAACCATTACTGTGGAGTTTAAAATTTATTTATTCTCATAATGTTTGTCGGTATATAGTTCATTTAATAGAAATAAACCTTATTCTTTCTTTCTTCATACTCTCCTCAGTATTAAATTTTAATGTTTCACAGTTTTACCTCAGAAATCAATGTTTTTTAAACTCTACACATATTTATGTTATTTATACAACTACACACCTCAAAGAAAGTTCTATTTAACAGATTAGTGCCCATAGCCAATTACCTCCTTACCCTAAATGATTCAAATCTACTCTATTGTCTATTAATTACAGTCTTTATTATTTCAAATTAGATTACATATCATTTTCATTAACAAAAAGTTTACTGTTCTACCTTTTAGGTTCAGCCATTATCCGAATGATGCATAAATTCTTAGGAGAGTCTTTTTTCAAAGGAGTTTCAAATTACCTAAAGGAGTATAAGTTTGGCAACGCAGAGCAGGACAACTTATGGGAGTCATTGACTTCCCAAGCCCATAAGGACAGAGTTCTTGATAAAAACCTCTCCCTAAAACCTATAATGGATTCGTGGACACTTCAAACAGGATACCCTGTACTTACTGTAAAAAGGGACTACGAGAAAGGAACTGCTACTATAACTCAAGTAAACACAAATTTTAAAACAAATTGTTTTGTAATAAGCAATACATAAAACATATTTATTAACGGTTGGATATGAAACAAAATTTAAAATTCAGTTTCTATCATCATTAAACACCATTCTGATTCCTTGATAGTCCTTACTGAATAAAGCAAAACAATCTGCTTCCATTCAACTTCCATTCATAGGATGATAAAGACAAATATGATTTTATTTTGTCTGTCATTTTCAGACTAGATTTTTAAGGATTCCAGATGATACAGACAAAAAAGAAAATTGTTGGTGGATCCCTATCACTTATACAACATCCAGGGAGAAAAATTTCAGCAACACATATCCAAACGTTTGGTTCAATTGCCTTAAAGAGAAAACACTAGAACTCACTGGTCTTCCAAAAGGGAGAGATAATTGGTTAATCCTTAATATAGATCTTTCCGGTAAGATGACAGAATTAAGACCTAAATCAACACCTCCTCACTGATTCATTTTTTCCTTTAGCTCTGTACAGAGTCCAATATGACGACAACAATTGGAAAATGATCATAAAAACATTGAAGAGTGATAATTACAAAGACATCAGCCCTCTCAATAGGGCTGGATTAATTCTCGATGTATTCGCATTTGCTAGAAGAGGGGATCTCCCTTACAACCTTGCATTTGAACTTGTATCATACCTGACGAGAGAAACTGAGTACTTACCTTTCTCAAGTGGTTTCTCATCTTTCTCGCCTATTGTCAACTTCCTCAAAAGAACACCTGGTTACGGTGTCTTAATTGTAATAATTATTGACAATATTTATAATTAAATATTCTTCTTAAATAATAAAATGTTTTCAGAATTATATTAAGCAGTTGATGAATCCGTTTTTCCAAAGATACGGCCAATTTGACCAACAGCTATCTTCATTAGATGAAAAGAAAATGCACAAAACAACAATTTCATGGGCTTGCCTTCTTGAAGAGCCTAATTGCATTTCTCAAGCAAATTCATTGTACAATCTTTGGACAAAGACTGAAGATCTCACCGAAAATAACCCGTAAGTTTATTAGTGTAATTAGGTTTAATGACCACAATAAATATATGGATTAAAAAAATATATTGCCAAAATGAAAGGAGTTATCTTGCAGAAAATTTTTAGATATCCTATGTTTGTAATTTTAGTAATTAAATGTTTAGGATTCCTACTGATATACAAAAAACTGTATTGTGCACTGTGGTCCGATATGGCGGCTATGACGTATGGGAGAATCTTTGGAATAGGTACAGGGTATCAAATTACGGTTTCGAGAAAAGTGTTTTACTCAGCTCTCTCGCCTGCAGCAGAGATGTATGGGTAATCAACAGGTAAATTCCTCAATTGGCAAATTAGTTTAAACAGGAATTACTAATTGTTACTTCTAATGTTTACTACTAGGTATTTAGATTGGTCTATAGACGAGAATTCAGAAATCAGGAGGCAGGATGCAATGAGCATTTTTTCGAGTATCACTTCCAATGAAAATGGCTTCTACATAGCTAAAGACTTCCTCCACAGTCGCATAGATGATATACACAAATTGTGAGTAAAAATTTTTTTAAAAATTTTATGACCATTACAAAACCAAAAGTTGAAAATGTATTCAACAACTTATTAATGCATAATTACAAATTGAATAAACCACTTTTTTATAAATACACAAAATTTCTGAACCAACCATTTTGTGAAAATAAATTTTTTTTAATGTGTTCATCTTTAATGAAATATTTAGAGTAAGATTTCTCCTTGCATTGCAAATAAAATGTAGACCTTTTCTCTTATTACTGAACTAAAAAAGCACAGAATTTATAGTATCTTTTACTACATTTTTACAAGTACACATGCTTAAATAATCTATTGTTATTATTGTGAATTTTTTCTGTGTGGTTGGCAGGATTTCAACCAGTAATTTTGTTATTATTGATCATTTTGGTCTGCCCATCTTCCATAAGAATGTGATATTCCTTTTTAACATCACAATTTCATTCTATTTTAATTTGTTATGGTGACATTAGACTTAAAACAAGAATACTCTTTATTTTCTTGAATTCATAATAAATTAATATAAACTTAATACTTTTTTTTTAACAGTTACAAAAACCATCCTAGTGTACTTGGAAAATATCTGCAAACATATGGATCACGTATTGTTCATCATCATGAACTGCAGGTGGTAAGTAGAACTCTGAATGAGATATTCCTTTCTGTTGATAGCCCATTGAACCTAACTTTGGTGGCAGGATGGAAAAGATTAAGTTCTGACCCCTAGATATAGCTTATATAAATCTTTTGTTTAATTAATTTAATTTGTGATTTATTTATTTACTAATTTTGTGTTTTATCAATTTTTTTTCATATAAACAAAATATTTTTCAGTTTAAGGAATTCCTCAATAAGTACAGCAAATCATACTTCAAAGACATAAAACTGCAAGCAGCGCAGTCTTTGGAAAACGCAGAGGCTAATGTTAAATGGCTGGAGAGAAATTATAAAGACATCATTAAAATGCTGTCACTTTGACAGACTAAAATCCCTGTCAACAGAGTCCAAATGAAAAACAACTCTCCAACTTTCAAAATTATCAGTTCCAAGTTACTATTCTTAACAACATTATCTTTAATGGGAAATGTATTTTTATTGAAAGATAACTGAAAATGTAATTGTACTTGAAATCTTACAATGAAAATTTGTTGTGAAACGTAGTAGTTATATAGAGATAAGTTAGAATGTGATGAAGGGTGTGGTTAAGGTGAGTCAAATAAGATAATGGCTATGTCCACAATCTACTCAATATTTTTGTGTGATAAATACGTCAGATAACGTAGTCGACAAGAGATTCTGCACCTGTTAATATCAGTTATAAACTCAGTTTTCATCAAATCAGCAATAAAAAATGGCAGTATTAAGAACTGTATGTTACGGTACACTTGTACTAGGTAAATATAATAATCAAGAATAATTAACATTGGATTTTAATATCAATAATAAAATTCAATATTATTTTGGTTAGTTTTATTCAGTACACTGTTAACTGATGTTGAAGCAAGAAGGAAAATTTTAAGAGGTCGTAAAACTATCACCAGGGAATATTATAGTAAGTAGTAAATGATATAATTTTGTAAAGTGAAGAGAAAAATTTGTTGGCTGTTTTGTACTTTGTAAATTTTGAAATACAAACTTAATTGGAAGATATTTTGTAATCTATTATGAATCATTCATTGCATTTAGAACCTCCGCTAATTCCAGCCTGGGCTAATGTTCTTTTGACTGGGATCGGCATCCTGTTGGGAGGTGCAGTTCTTTATGGCATCCTTTGGGCTTTTTTAATTCGAAATAAAGGAAAACACTAGACAATAGAAGTCGACCTAATTTTTACTTTTAATTTTTACACGTTTCTTTATGTAATTTTTTACTAAATAAAACATTAACATTCCAAATATGTTTTCAAATTTTTAATTATTAATTAGGCAATTCATCAAAATTCATTGATAAGATATTTTGAAGTAGTACAAAAAACTTAATATTGTTATAATTTTTTTTTTTAATTATTCAGAAAGTTACTTTTTATATTTATTTTGTATATTCAACTGAGACCAGGTATTTATAATGTAAGAAAAAATAAACTATACAATACAATTTGAAAAAGTTTCTTTTTTTTCAATTAATCTGCTCCATCAAATAGTAATTTTTTCCCTATGAACCTTTTTGAGGCCACTTTGTGGTTAATAATGCTTTGGTCTTTCAAAATGCTGTTCTGTAAATCTGGTGAAACAAAACTATAACATAACATTAAGGAAAGTAATAGCAAATTATATATGCATTATAAATAGTTCTAAATTAATGTATTAAATATGACTACTAAATGGTAAATATAAATATGTATCTATTTGATTATGCACTCTACACTGGTGGGACTAATGTGAGACCAAGAAGTTTTTCGCTGCTGATCAATGGGTTCTTATGAGTCCAACCTCCAATTGGCTACTTTTATTAAAGTGGTAAGAGGGGAGAACCCTCTTATTACCACTGGCCTGACATTCTGTCTCCTCAATAAAAGCAGCAGCCCTGTGTTCACATGGTTTGTGCCTATTCATTATTTCACGGGAAGAACAATTTTTCATGTTTTTATGACAAAATTATCTTGGAACCTAACCATCCCTAAAAATTATTCTTATTTTTCTCAGATTACTTTTAATATTAATTGATTTATTAGTTTTTCTGCAAAGTATAGTTGAATCGAAAAATTAGTATCACAAACAGGACTCAAGCTCATTCAGAATGTTGTGATTTGAGTGATGCTCGTGACACTAATTTTTCAACTCAACCTTACTTTGCATAAAAAATAATACATCAATTAAACAATTACTTTGGTTAATATGACCATCTAAAACATATACATTACTTTTAATATTATTGTTATAGAACAGGTCTACAGAAACTAGGGAAACCAAAAATAGAGGGGCAATTTGCAGCTCAAAAGCTTGCCTCTTTACAAAATAGGTTTTCACACAAATTCTTTCGAGACAGACTTACTGTCTACTATTGGCAACAATATTATGAACTCATCGATCTTAAAATTAAAGAATATACAGGATTTTACAATACAATCAGTGAAAACCACAATAAAAACAACATTGAAAAACTGGCTACATCTAGCCAGTAAAATGTTCTTTGGGAGAGGAGAATGCTTACTCAAATTATAGAATTTACCAGGATAGGAGCAAAATGGATGGAAAGGTGGTGCAATAGCCTACACTCCACTGTCAAGAAGATATAATTTATGTGGTGAGGTCATGGCTTTATTAAACTGGACTGACATATATTTTAACATGAGGGAAGCACAGGAAAGTCAATTTTGAACCCACTAATGCTGTTTCCCAATGGTGACCCACATAGAGCACTTTAGAGAGAATTGTAAATAGCCGGTGTTACAAAAAGGACAGCACTGGGCAGTCAGTAGCTGACAAGAGTACAGAGTATTAGAATGGAGTTGAGTGACCCTGGTCAGTTATTCACAAATCAGTTACAGTTTGAAGTTTAGAATTAGCCACTGATCAGTGGCCAGTGATGAGTTAGAATTGAATTTCGAACTTTTTTTGGTTGTGGGTTGAAAAATGTAGACTTGTGGGCTACATCTTTGTTAGATGTTTATGGAGAGAACGAGCTTTGGAGGTGAAATGTCTGGCTTTGGCTTGGATACTTCCTCTGTGGACTTTAAGCAATTAATAAATGCTGTTTTCAAATACAAAGACCTAGGATTACTTTATCACCCCAATGATGTATTCAGGCAAATGATTGACACTCAAGATATTGACTCTCTGTCTTCGCGTCTTCTCAAAGTACAACATGTATAGTGTAGTGAATGGTTTATGAATATGATTTTTAATTAACTTAATTTTAGATTGTGACTTTTTAATTTTTCAACCAACAATACCTACTGCAAAAAAAACTCTTACACAAATAAATAAAAGGATACTCTGTGCTATTTTCACAATTGTCTTGCGGGGAAGAAGCATTTGAATTATAGCAAATGTAGCCATGATTTGAACCATAAGCCTCAATTTTGTCCAATTCGCTTGTTAGGTCATCAATCAACATCTTAGCAGAATCACTGTAGTCGTTTTCTTTCCTTTCTTCCCAAAACCGTAGAGAGTCACTTATGTTATTCTAAAGACAGATATTAACCTTCAATTTATAAAAACATTTACGCAATTTTAATTACTCAAATTTAAATCAAATAAGTTAAAAACATAATCAGATTATTTGGAGATCTTGAGACACTGCCCAATACAATTAGAGAAAAAATTATATATGTACATATCAGGGTAGTAGTAAACTGGAACAATCCTTTCCCTTTTCTCGTTAACCCAACCCTATGCATACTCATGAACACACATGTGAAGATGGTACACTCCAGACCAACTGGAGCTTTGACTCCCTAACCATTTGTTTAATTGGCCCAATTTACAATTCTCACAGTTCCTACTGAGGCTGAATTTACAATCGCCGACATATCAAATAGCTTCATCATTCAGGTTTGCTGATAGTCACTGGTTTTGTCTGTAAGATAGGTTTCAGCATTTTACCATTATTAGTCCTGTGCTGAAATGTCTGAAAAAACAAGTGATACTAGGCAAGTTAGAATGATGGCGTCTACAACTCACTCACCTCACTTCAATGTTTCACAAATTAAGTTTAGGAGTTGTAATTACTAGTAACTACATTCTGATGATGGTAAAAATCAACATGAAATATGCATCAACATACAATGACCAAAGGAACATATCCTAACTACTCGTATTACAAAGAAAATAATAACATGATCGTACAGTATAATAATTTGGACCAATTGTGAGCTTTCTTTTAAGCCCAAATGGGATGCATTCCAATACAGAGCACTCATACATATCAAACAAATACATATAATAAACATAATACCTCATCATCCAGACAAGAAAAAATGTTAGTCTTGAAAGGCAGTGTTAAAAAGGACCGATATGAAAATATGGATGAGCTATAAAGCTTCTGATGGTGGGCAACGTCAAAGAGCTAAATTTGCCTTAGGTACTTTGCAGCACGTTGGCATGACTAATAATTCAAGGGAGAATATAACATTGCAACCTTACGAGAGATGGTACAAAATTCTCATTATCTTCGTGTTTGTAAAATCAACCATCAAACACTTGATAAGCCCAAGATTTTTTAAAGCTTTGAAGCCTGTTTGATTAATGTGGACATGGAAATCACATTTTGAATTGAATGTCACTCCAAGATCATTAGTTTCTAACTGGTTGGGCATCCCTCAGGTTGGGACCAATCTACTAGGCTTTCAAATTTCTAGACAAAATTGGAAGCGACTTCTTTATAAATCAACAAGTCACTTGCGAACAATGATACCTGTACATGTTTGAAGACTGACTTTGTATCATTGATAAAAATCAACAAGCATACAGGTCCAGGATGTGAACCTTGGCAACCCCAAACCAATTTCAAAGGCTACATCTGTAAGAAATAGATTGTCTTCTAATGAACAAATAAATCAATATAGCACTGGTATAAATAATATAATGAAACTACTTGTGGATAGTTTCAAGAAAGAATCCAGGTCTTCTGTGGAATTACTTATTTTATTTTTCATTTCGGGTTCAATCATCCATCTTCAGCAGCTCTAACAGGCCATCTCCCATACTGTGAACACAGCGTGTGGTTAACAGCCGACTTAAATGACGGTATACTCAACTTAGGTGCTTAAGTTAAAAGCCGTGGAATGAACACAGTATGAAGAAAACTTACGTCTTAATTTCTGTAATAAGACCCAAAATAACCTATGGATCTGGAGGACTAAAGCTCAACAAAAAGTAGCTACTCAAACATTAGGCAGCATACAAAGGCTAGCAAACTTATGTATCACAGGAGCAATGAGAACAACCCCTACAAGTGCACTAGAAACTCTGCTAAACCTACCTCCATTGGAAATATTCATACAAGGAGAGACTAGGAAAAGCTCATTTAGGCTCCAAAAACGATTAAATTGGATAGGAACTAAACAATTCAGGCGTACAACTATATTAACAAAATCAGACATCCATTCTTTGAAATGGGGACTGACTATATGATCCCGGAAACAATCTTCACAACATCCTACAAAGTCTCAACGGACTATAAAGGAGAGGAAGTACACAGGAGAGCAACAGACACAATGATATGGTATATAGATGGCTCCAAAACAAACGAAGGAACCGGATCAGGCATTTACTGTACAAGCCCAAAACATGAGCAGTCAAACTCATGAGGGAAGTACACTTCGGTCTTTCAAGCAGAAATATATGGCATCAATGCTTGTGCCCTGGAAAATCTTAAAAGAAGTTACATTGACAAAAAATCCTCATAAGATCTGAGCCCACACTAAGCCAAGCAGCCATTAAAGCATTAGCATGTAAAAGAATCACATCAAAATTAGTCAGTGAATGCATCCAAAACCTCTAAAACCTGGGGATACACAACAACCTGATGATATCTTGGGTGCCAGGGGGGAATTTTGGGTAATAAAAAAGCAGATAGTCTGCGGAGGATCTGCAAGACCATACATAGGCACCGAACCTACACTTGGGATAACAAAAACAAATATAGAATCCTCCATCGTGGAATGGATCCAAACAAAACAAAAGGAGAAGTGGTTAAACTCTAGCGGTGCTAGACACAGTAAACTTATGATGAAAATACCCTTGCCAAGACCCAATATCATCTTCGACTGCGAAGCAACAGCTCAATGGAGATTCAACCTAACTTGCGAAAAAAAAAACTCAGAGAATAAAATTGTAGCAGCGACAGTGAATGACCTGATACTTCTAAGGAGAAGGATAGAGTCTATTGCACTTTAGGAATGTACAATAAGCCAGAGGGCTGCAGTGCCTGGGGAGTGCAAACCCTGCTTCCTCGTATCCTTAGCATACAATACCATATGTCTAGAATAGAAAAAAAAAACAATACAACAGTGGTCACAGTATATTTACATGTACGACCATAACGCATACATCTAACCCAATACCTCCAGAAAATTTGGGTTTTGACAGACATTTTCAAACAAACAAAACCTCTCCCTATCCTGTTTTTTCCCCTTACACCACAAATTTTGTGAATAACAATTGTTACAGTTTATTGTATTGTTATTTGGTTTCGGACTGAATCGTCCATCTTCAGCAGGTCCAACATCTCTTACATGTGAACACATCTGTTTAATGGCCAACATGACTTACAGTACACTAAACTTACGTACATAACGATGAACTAGATTAACGACCTGCTGGATACAAGAAGTCTTTTCAGAGGATCTTCAGAAGAGGTCAAAACAGAGAAAACTTCCTTACGGTTTTCGCCCAAAACACCATGTTGTTTAATTTCCTATTAAGGTTTTAAAGTAAGATGTAATTATTGTTTTTTCATGTTTTAATTGTTTGTTTATATGATAATAAAACAGGCCCTGAAGATGACAGTATAAAACTGTTGAAAGCTCGGCGAAAACCGTAAGGAAGTTTTCTCTGTTTTGACCTCTTCCGAAGATCCTCTGAAAAGACTTACGTACATAAGTTAAAAACCGTGGAATGAAAAAATATAACTTACATCTAGAGTTGATATTCTCCGGTTCATATGATCAAAAGCTTCGGGTGATGATTTTCCGTCTCCCAACCGTGAAGGTTCCAACAATTTATTGTTTAGGTACTTTAGGATGGAGTCAAATTTTTTCCCTTGTTCTATATTCATTTTTCCCGAATGGTAAAAATCAATAGAATAGATTATCACTTGACTCGCTATTTCTCTTTTTAACTTTTATCACTCTTCCCTCCGCAGTCGGCTGATCGCAGATGACTCGATCTGTAAGTTGTCCATTGACAACAACAAAAAATTTTTTTTCAATTAATTAATCTTTAATTATGGTCTTCGTTGAGATAAAAAAGACAGTGTCACGAGCGGGATTCGAACTTTGACTTTTATATCTCAACCAAAACCTTAATTAATGATTAATTAATTGAAAAGAATTTATTTGGTCAATCAGACCACGAAACACCTAATAGAAATAAAAAAAATAATTTCAGACAAATTTTTTTATACATAAACGTTAAAATATTTAAAGTATTTGAAATTTTAAATTGACTTTAAACCAAACTAAGCACTAGTTTTATTTGTTTTATAAGTAAAAAAACGTTATCAAAATTAGTTTCCCTCCCAATTCTGTGATTCGGCCAAACGGTAAAGGTAAACACATCGTTGAATGTTGCTAATACTAAACTTAAAGTTAAAAGAAAAAGTGTAACTGTTGCCTTATAGACTCAATACTTAAGCTTTAAAGTAAATATGATTTCTAATTTAAACATTGAAGTAGTAGTCAAAGAGAACTGGTAAGACAAAAATATTTATATTTGGGGTAATTAGGGTCGTTATCTATCGCTTTTGTCTGCCTATACTTGGTGGGTTGGTCTATCATCTTGCAATTTATATTTGCATTTTTTTAATCCATAGGATTGATTAAACAGTATTTATTAATAAAAATGTATTAATCTTACAATGAGAGTTTACAAAAGACAAAGTATATATGTCTTGTTTTAAACGTAAATATACATTATCAAAAAACATTTTCACAATAGGACTTGGCCCCTTTACGGTGAGTAGAAAAATATAAAATAATGAAATAACAAAAAGGTTACAAAATATAATGCAAGAAATAATAATTAACAAGCAAAATTAGTTTTAGTAATGATAATTAACATAGTTGAATATGAATGACTGAGTGAAGTGGGTATAAAGGCAAAGTATAAAAGATAGAAGAAAAAGAGAATAGCAACAAGATCAAGCTGAGTGTGATCAAACCAAGGATTGTTTGCTAAAATGTTGAAAACTTGCCTGAAAGCACGAAGGATGTCGTTTATAATTCCAGTAAAATAGGGTAAAATAAGAATTTTGACTAGTCTGAGTTGTAGTTTCAGAGAGATAAATTGCCGATTAGATATTACCCAAATGAATTTAAAGTCCCATTCACCCTTCTAGCTAGAAAACAACATGAAATTGGATGTTACATTCAATTAAGTGGAGGGCAATATTTATGCTGTTTTTTGGACAATTTTTGACCCATTTTGCGATCATACAGAAACATATTATACCATTAACAGGGTGTGTTTAAGAATAAAGATCTTAAATATGGTGCGTTGAACGTGTAGTTTAATCATTCAATTTGATGTAATTATCCTGCTGTTTTGAGTCCATTAGATATGTTTAGACATTTTATCAGACCCAGCACAGAAGATGCAATTTGTCTGACAGACTATACCAACAGGGATAGGTAGACAAAAATGTTCTAAAACAGCCAACTAAAGATTTACTACTGTTAGTTTCCCTAGGTCCAATGGTATTGTAACAGTTTTAACTTTTGTAAAATGCAGTTAAATACTATTTGGTATCAATATTTTTAAGGATTTTTTCCAATTTTTTGTTTATTTGGAACAATATGGAATTATAAAATAATGTATTGGATTTTTTACTATAGTCCACTAAAGAATGAAGCACTTATTTCGTCAGTGAAAAATGAATTAAATGGAAAAATTGTTCAATTAGCAGATAAAATAACAAATTTTGATTTGGATGTGCTAACCCAACATGTTGAATACATTCGGATCTGTGAATTCTTCAAATGCCCTTCAAATCAGACTGAATCCGACAGCAGTAAATGCCAGGTACCTTCTGTTTTTATGGCTTTCATTATGCTCTCAATTGGTTTAAATTGTTTTTCAGGAAAAAAAAGAAAAAGACTCAATAACATTGGTGTCGGATTTGCTAAAAATATATTTTCTGCGGTTGAACAATGAAGGTCCACAATCAGAAACAATCAGTGCAGAAAATGATGATACATTGGTGGCAAACTTCACATTATTGCCCTCATCATACTATGATGGGCTCTGGGAAGCTTTAATTTTTGATTCGAATATAAAGGACAATGTAAATAATTCTATGGAGGAAAATTTGCACAATTATTATGTACAATTTTATTTGCAGTTACTTCAATATGCCCAGGCAATGCTGCGCTACTCCAAATGTGGAGTTGACCCCACAATCGTCTCGTGCAACAGAGTGGTATTGCTCCACGGACCCCCAGGAACAGGAAAAACATCTCTTTGCAAAGCCCTCGCTCAGAAATTATCCATCCGTCTTTCACATGCATTTTCTCATGCCATTCTCATCGACATTAATACACACTCACTTTTTTCTAAGTATTTTTCTGAGGTGATACTTGTATTTAAAATATGTTCATATTAATTTGAAAAATAAATAGTGAGGTATATTTTAATTTATTTTAGAGTGGTAAACTGGTCGCTAAGATGTTCGATAAGATAAGAGAATTAGCTTTTGAGTCAAAGACACTCGTTTGTGTTCTTGTCGATGAAGTCGAGTCACTTACACACTGCCGAGAAACCACACGATCTGGAAGTGAACCGTCTGATGCTTTGAGAGTTGTCAACGCTGTACTTACAAACCTTGACAATCTTAGCCAGTAATTTTTTTTTTTTTTTAATATCGTATAGTTTAATTTACTCATCTTCTAGATTATTTAAATTTTCAGCTTTTCCAATGTTATCACTTTCACAACATCTAATATAACTAAAGCTATAGATAGAGCATTTGTAGATAGGGCTGATTTAAGGGTGTTGATTCCCAATCCAAGCCCTTATGGAATATACTCAATTTATTATTCTTGTTTGAAAGAGCTGGTGCAGGTGAGAAATTTATTTCAATACCAAAGAATTTCTAATAAACCTATCAACATTTGCAGAAGGGTCTCATCATAGGTCCATTACCGGAAAAAATCCGTGATAAGGAGACGTTTGAAAATTTTTCCGGATGTGATTACATCGAAGGCACAAAGTTGCTGATAGAACTGTCCAAGTAAGGCATGAAACTACTGATAGACCTAAGCCGAATGTTAATGCTACTTGTTTTTATAGAGACAGTTACGGCCTCAGCGGTCGCACATTGAGGAAAGTTCCACTACGTGTTCACGCGACTATGATACACCCAGAAGCACTGCCACTTTTTGTAAATTTCTTAAAGTCCATGTTTCTAGCTGTTAAAGTAATCAAGGAGGAGGTAGACAAGTTCACCGATTCTCACATTACCCTGCAATGATCCAGTAATATTTATATTTTATTATTATTATTCGTATTATATAAAATAGAAAGATGTTTATTATATTTTGTTCTTTTATATCCTTCTTTAATGAAATACTAAACCTTAATTAATTGTCTTGTATTAATTGGTCAAGCGGACCACAAAAATAGTGAATTAACTTTATTTTTATTTTTAGCTGCTGATGTACATCACTAACAATTAATTTTAATAAATCTAATACTCTGTTCATTCTGGGTGTTTGAATTGTGAAATGTATTGTGGCCAGCTATCCAACAATAGTTCGATCTCAACACGATAGTCAAGGATGAAATGACAAAAACATGATAAAACTATAATTTTTAAATTTATCATTAAGAAACATTACACAAAATGAAAATAATATTTATTTTCTATTATGTTATTCTTAATTATACATATAGCCAATTAATTTACACAATTTTTTCTAAATGAAAAATTTGTGTCACAGGCGGGAATCAAACCTTTGGCTCTATATGCTGCTGCTCCAACCGCTTGCGCTACTGTGACTTCGATCGCCCAGGCCACAAACTATTCATTTTGACTTCCCATTTTATTACAATTGTATTTCATTTTGAAAAAATCGTGATCAATTGAGTGAAAATAATATTAAAAAGTATAATTATATCACAATAGAACTGCTCAATTAAAAATACTAATTGTTCTAATCAATAAAAAGTACTTTGTTATAAAAGTTAAACCACTGATTTTCTCACCTTTGTTCATTGATAATAAATATTGCAAAAATATGCTAAATTATATGTCTATACGAGGCCTGTATTGAAGGCGAAGTGGTGGTTCTTTGAACCTCCACCTGGTGACATAAACGAACTTAAGAGTGTGGTCTTTGCCGAGGAGTTCATCGTTGCAAAGTATGTCGATGTCTCTGTATTTCTCCATACCATCGAGCACTTTCTTGGCTATGAATTTTTTCAAGTGTGTGATGGTCGCCTGAGACGAAAGGCGAATGAACTTCCTCTTGAGCGCTTTGAGGTTTTCAGCAGTACACTCCAGCCCAACGTTGACTTGTTCATCAAGCCTGTGGAAGTCGGCTTCCAACTGGTTCTGAGGTTTCTCGTCTTCGATTTCGTTGTTCGGTTGGATGACATCCTTGGGGCAAGTGAGCCCCCTCTGTTTGTAGAACTCCCTTTCTCTTTTCATCTCGTTCTCTTGCAGGTTGGGCACCAGCTTGTAGACAATGTCCTGCATCGTCCTGTCGAAACTGATGTACTGGAGTGGATAGGATTGGTGTATGACTATATTGCACGTCGGGCACGTATTGTTCTCTTCGAGGTGCTTAACGACGCACGTCTTACAGAAGGTGTGCAAACATTCCGTCACCGTCGTCGCGTCGACCAGGTAGCCCTTGCAGATCTTACAAGTAATGTAACTGTTGAGCGTCTTTAATTTGATCTTTCTCTCCATCGTGCTATGTCCTAATTCCACTGACACATCAAACTGAACTTGAACCTATTCACAAACGTTCTACTCTAGGCCCACAACTAAAGCGTACAAAATTTAATTTTCACTCGTAAGCTATTCAATACAAAATCAGTGAATAGAAGAAACAAATCGGTGAGAAATTAAGAACGAGATAACCTCCGCTTATTGCTAGTTTTCATGAGTCAATTATTTTGACCAATCAAGAGAGTCCGTCACTCTGACGACTGCATGCAAAACAACACAGTTTTGTGTAACAAAGTAGAAATATATATTTTTAAATAATCAACCTTGTAAGTTTTTCGTTATTGTTTAAAATAATCTAAGATAAGTATTAAAATAGTTTTAAACACATGCATATATTATTATTCTTTTTTAAATACATAATTAAATTAATAAATTAGAATTAAGAGAAGAATAATTAAGTTATTAATTAAAATTAAGGATTAATTAAGTTACATGCCATCAATGGTGCTGGTCCTGATGTTCTGCCGCATGTGTTTTTTAAATCCCTGTCTTTAGTTCTTACACACCCTTTAACTTTCTTATTTAATTTTTCCTTGTCTTATAGAAAATAACATTTGTTAAACCTTTTTACAAAGCTGGTGATAAACTAATTAAGAAATTGACATGTCACGAGTCAGGACACTGTTTACCTAAAGTTTTCTTTAAAAAAGAAATGTTGCAAACAGGCTAAAAGTAAATTTAAATTGCATTATCCCATTGTCAGTACAGTTTTATGGCACATCACTTGATTTGTGTTAATTTAGTCAATTCTGAGCAGTATGTAATGAATTCACTAGACTCTAGAGTCAGGCTATTTACAGGTAGACCCAGTTCACACAGATATAGCTAGGATTGGGGATAGGGATAAAAGGTGGCCATAAGGCTTTCTGTACTTCGACGTGAGTAGATCCTCCGGTTTTTATAACTTACAGACCAGCTTCAAGTTGTTAATCAACCTCCATAACCTTGACATCAGCTCCTTAGTGCAGGTTCTTGCTTGCAACTTTTCCTCTCCTAGTAGCGAAAATCTGCACTTCACAAAAACATAAAATGTGTTCTACTCCTATCCATGCATGTGCCTTCTTAGGTTGTAGTGCCCTGTCAGGAGTCCAACCAGAATCCTGGTTCAGTTGGGGTTTCCTTCCAGTAATTCCTTTGTAAGTTTTGCAGATGACCCTTTTATGAATCTCTTTGTATGCCTCATGCCTGTATTGTTCGACCAGGTTTTGAACTCATTAAGGATTACGATATAACCTCTTTTGGGGCAAGATTTTTGGCCACAGTAGGGTTTGAGTCCTAAGAGTCCATGTTGGCTCTCTCTCAGTTTATGAGCCATCAGTGTACCAGTAGGAGCTTGCCTTTAGATGCGTTTCTTTGGGCCCACTCTCATATCAGTACTTTTTAGTAAAGGTATATTTTGTAGTAGTGGCATATACCTAAGATATAACTAAAGCATTTGACACTGTTAACCACAGGATATTGCTATCTAAACTCCACTTTGTGTGACTAGTAGTTTATTCTCTTGGATTAGAAATTATCCGTTCACAAAATTATAAAAGTAGGATCGTTTCATTCAAATTTGGCCACTGCATTCTGGGGGTCTCCCAAGGTTCACATTTTGGTCCAGTGCTATTATTTATATTTGTTAACAATTTGTCGATTATTTGTAAGGATGTTAATGTTTTATTGCTGGCAGATGATCTAAAATTCCTCCTATAAAATTACAAATGTTTCATTCATCGTGTTGTAATAATTGTTACCAATGGCATTTGATATGCCTCAGGAGAACTGTTCTAACGATTCGTAACTCCATTAAGCAACATTCGATGAATGGAATTGAATGCTCTAAATGTGATAGTCTGACGAAGAAAGGGCTTATGTCATATGCTTGAGATAGCTAACATCCTGGACATAAGGTTAAGGTCATCCATTTCAACAATGAGTAAGAAATGGAGAGCAGAGGGCAGCAGACATGAACCCTTTTATAGAAATTATGAATGAAAATTTGGTTCGGGATGGTTAGTGATCAAAAGAAATGGAGGTGGTAGGAAATATTAATTTATCTCTCCCTTCAAGTTCCCATTGTTGAAGATAAAATATCCTTGTTTATTCCTCGAACATTGTCCCAGCATAAAGAGTGCTCTGAAAAATCTGTCATCTACCTTCAAAAAAACTAATTGATGGGCACTAAATTTTTATTTCTAGAGAACAATGAAAGCAAATAAATAAAAACTTTTTCCCAGGCTTTCTAACATTAGCCTTTACTTTTTTACATATTTCAGTTTCTTCACATCCCTACAAGAGGATAATGAAGTACTAATTCTATTTTCTCAATACTAGTAATGAATTGATTATTTTGATACCAAATCCTGATGGTTAAACTATCAAAATTCCATCAGCACATTTGGAAAATATTTTGTTAACTTTGCATGTTCATAATTAGAGAAAAACAATCTTGAGATATTCACAAAAACTCAAGGTTGTAAAATCAAAATTTCTGTTTATAACTTAATATTTATTACATATTTTAAGAGCCAACCTATATCATTGTTAGGCACTAGGTACAAAAGAAAAAAAATTGTTTTTCTTTCAAACCAACTTTATTAAACAGAAGGAATCTGATAATTAAAAATATGAGGTACCTATGAACATAATTATAACAATAATTAAAAATTCTGTTCTGTAAATAAAAGATACTTGTCCAAAAAAGAAGTTAACATGTAAAATAAAATGTAGCTTAAAATAAATAATCAATCATTATACAAAAGTATAAAATGAGAATTACACAGTTTTTTAAAATAATTCACAAGTGTAATTTAGGCATCGATGAATGGATTGTGCATTTTATAAACTAAAATTTGCCTCATCATTTTTAAAACAACATATTGCACATAAATTAATGCCTTATTCAATAACATGCTACAATTAATATTTTGACTTACGTCTTTCTAAAATCTATATTATAACATATTAAATATATCATAATACACATAGATTAATAAAGTAATCAAGCCGCATGGTCTAATATTTAAAAATGACAGCAGCTGGCGTAAAACAAACAAACAGTTTTGCACACATCCTAATTTTTCATGTTTTAAATGTTTGAGGAGTTTTGATTTTTATTTCGTATTGACTTTAATATTGCTGCCCTCAGTTCAACAACAAGCTTTTCCATTCTTTCAGCCTTGGTTTTAAGATGAAGGTTTTCTTTTTCCAATTTCCCTTCCATCAATTTCATTTCTACATCCCTCTGTTTCCTGTTGTATCTTGATCTTCGTGAAGCTTCATTATTCCTGTCTCTCAGTTCTCTATACTTGTCAGGTGCATCTCTTGAAGAAGACGCCTCACTGACCACAGAATCCCTGCGTTTTCTCTTTTGACGAGGTTTCCTTTTTGCAGGGGTTGGTGAGTATGTGGAATCGTCAGAAAACTCGTCAGAATCAAAAACATAATCTGATTCGCTATCTTTCCTTTGCTTCTTAATGATCCTGCCTCTTTCTGTTTTTATTAAATCAGGAACTGTCTGTTTTAACACCTCTTCCACGATTGGTTCATGCACAGGTGAAGGTGGTTCTGATTTTATTTTTGGTTCTTTCTGAGGAATTACGATTTGCGAACCCAAATAATTATGATCTTTCTCAACTACGTCAAGATCGCAACTACCAGCCAAAAGATCGATGTAGTCTTCCCCAGAATCCTTGAACAAAAAACAGGTAGTAAAATTTATAATTTTATATTTATACTTATCAAATAAAAGTTCAATATGAACTGAAAGATGCAAGTTGTTTTCAATCAAATTTCTCTATTTTTTTCTACAAAGTATTTATGAAAGTACATCAAAATGTAATACTTACAACATAATCGACCAAGTCGAATGAAGCATTAATATCTGTAACAGGCCTCAGGACATCTGGTGTGTTTATTTGGTAGATCGTTGAATTTGTTTTGCTCGTGGTCGCTGCTGCAATGTCCAATTTCAGTTTTGGTCTTTCTTGATTATTTGCACATTGAGGAACTGTATAACCTGATTCTTCTTCTTTAATCTGATTTAAACCAAGCACGCTGAGGTTATTTTTTTCATTCTGGGCGACTAAATAATTTGGTTCCATAAACATCTGTTTGCTATCGATAGATTGAGGTGATACAACGCTTTGAGATAGCATAACATTTCCACTCGAATTCTTAAGAGGTGATTTAACATTTAGAAGTAAATTGCTCTCTTCAAACAACTTATCGCTATTGTTGTTGTTGTTGTTGTAGGGCACGTCCAACAGTTGGATAGTGTCGTTATTATTGTTTTCCTCCCCTAGCATTAGGCAATTTGTCCGAAAAAGATCGGTTCCCCATAGATCACTTTCGGAGTCTACTTGAGACTTATCATCCAAAACTTTGACGTTACCAACATCACTAAAATTGAATTCATCTTTGGCTGAAAAGAAAACATAAGAAATTAATCTTCAGATTTTCTAACTTTAGATCATTTAAATTGTGTACTTACTAAATTGGGGTGTGTGCAATTCATCCTGAGGGGGTTGGTGACACCAAGATTGAAGATCCTGAAAACATTCGCCCCATCCCTCCACTCCCGCCTTGCCAGGCGTAGATGAGCCTAATGGCTGCACGTTCAATTGGATTCTCCCGCTTTTCATCGTCTGTCTCTCGCCAGGACATATAGCCGATGGTCGTCTTGTTGCGCTGCATTTTGCACGGGACTGTGGATTCGAAAAACAATCGGTATATATCGATTCGGCTGATGGAGTCATTGTCGATTTTGGTTTTTCATAACAAAAGTACATTGGAAAAAGAAAAAGCAAAACAAAAACGGATAACCGCTTCGCGAGTAGGGCGTTGTATACTTACTATTAATCCAACGTGACCCTCAAATGAAATGGTGGCTGTTAAGTTAGCAACCGCTTACCAGGATAGTTGAGATGCACTCAACCTGAAAAAATCACAGTTTTAATTTAACAAAACAATTTAACATTTTAAATACAAAAATATAATGTTTTAAAAATATTTTATTTTTTGAGGGATTTGCATTAGCACAGGTCATATCCCTAGAGTATTTACCTACAGAAAGTTTAACGTTTTTCATAAATCTGGAAAAATTGTAATAACCTATGCTTAAATCTGCAAGGTGATAAATCTAAGCTTGCTCAACCCTGAATATGCAGAACAGGATGAACAACGACAACGAATGATGCTTTATAAAATTTAAAACTTCCTTTTTGAGTGAACTTAACATTTACTATGCAGAGGTCCGATATTAGTAAAGTAGTCTTAAGTTGGCTTGTCAGCTTGTTTGTATATATTTCCCGATCTTGGAATCGTTTTACTAAATTGTTACTCGACAGTTCTACCTTAATATGTTTGTACAGTAAGTACGTATATATGTAATGACAAAAAAAGTTACAATCTGGAAGAGGATGAAAACAGATATATGTACCAGCTTTTATAAAATTAGGTACCTTACCTTCCCATCCATAACAAAAAGCAGTATTTATTACAAGTGATAAATTATATTAAAATTGATTAACAGCAATTCTATTTCATTTTAGAACAAAGTAAATTTTGTCAGTCTTGATGAAAAACAAAAACAGTGACGACGCATTTGCCCAGCGGAAATCGATCGTCCTAATTTGCAGACCCCCAAACACGGGCGGAGCCGCTCTACGAGTAGAAAACACCTTTTTTTAAATAATATTTCGGAATATGAAAGAAAATCTGTAAGCTGACGCTCTGTTGACGAAATCCAACAGGTCTATCTGTGAAAAGTGGACGACCTTGAGCTTGAATTCGTCCTAAAACGGCCATGACCACGGCTAAGGTGGAAGAACGTACTGCAGGACAACCCCCTTTAAAAATAACACTACGATATTTGACTTTTTCTTTCTTTTTTTTCGAACTGCCTCGACTATGAAAGGAAAAATATTATCATACTCAAAATAATACTACGCAGGGAACAAAGAAAAGGCCTTTATAACATTTGACAACAGTATATCTATAGAGTTAAAAAGCGCGCTCAAGGTCACGGGAGAAACAAGGGGCCCGAATTGGGTAGCAAAAATATAATTGTAATCATTGGCTTGAAACAATATCCCTATAGCCCCAAAATATAAGGATTCAAACTTGTACATTGGAGCTGTAAACAAAAGTGGAAAAACAATAACAACAACTGTAAACACTCACCTTATCCTGGAGTTAACGGTTTAGATTAGAAAATCAACAAATACGCGTTGTTATTCCGAGAATAACAACGAAAACGCTGGGCGTTCGGATTCTGGATTCGATTCCGAAGGGTTCTAGAATGTTCTAGACTGAGTCGGAACACAAAATACTTGATCGAACGAACTGTGAGACTCTACTGTGAGGTCACAGGGTCTGCAATAGGTTTTGTTCCGAGCACCCCCCCACCAAGCCTTCGGGATGACGTTATATCCCTCCAATAGGAACGCAGGAGGGCCGCCCTGCCACGACCGCCCCCCGCCAAAACGAGGTTCATATCTCGCTGAGTCATCCAGAGTTAACAGATGATGTTTATTGTTTATCTATCAAACATATTTCAACTTGTACTTACATTGTAACTGGCGAGAACAAAAATGTCACAGGGATAATAGAAGATGATTGAAATCTTTTAAACCCTTCTAAAGATGAAAATCGGCGGCGTTGTAGCCAGAACGTACGTTCAAACTGGACGTCGACTGAAGAGTGAAGAGACGTACAGTGTTATGTGGGGTGGGGTGATGCAGGGATCGGTCGGCTGATGCAATGTGCTTACGGGAACTGAGCCCATTGGTGCTTCCCTCGCTCCGGTCCTGGACCTGAGCCATTCGGGTCTTGGTCTCCAAGGATACTCAATTTTCATCGTTAATTATCGTTTTGGGGCGTTCACCCTAAACAACTTTTATGATTCACATAAACAGTTTGACAACTTTTGGACAAAGCGTTTTCCAGGAAACGAACGGCTTTCCTTGGCTGGTGCTGTTTAAATCAGTACAAAAAAATCGAACTGTTTTTTAATATTTTCCCTCAATGGTTCACAATGAATAATTATGTTTAATAAGAAAAACATTTTTTTTCCGAAAATGAATTTATGATATTTTGCTGTATATTTGAGCTTTAAAAGTTTTGGGAAAAAATGGCCATCATTTTTCCTGGTGAATTCTATTCGGTAAATTTTTGATTTTTTTTCCAACAATTAAAATAGAAACAGTTACAATTTGAGGAAAAAAAAGAAGTAAAAATTGAGTTGAAAAGGGTTACCTATGCTTTGGGCTGAGTTTCAACGCATATGTAAGGGTTTCACTTGACTTAAAAGGGTTACATTTAATTTGCAAAGGATACCCTTGATTTAGGAAAGGTTCAAATTGACTTGTTTAACATGATATTAATCATTTAAATTTTGAAATTGATACACAGTTTGTCAATTTACGTTATTTTTTGCCTTTTTACGTTTCAGGCCTCTGACGCAATGTAAAATTAAATTTAACAGCCCAGACCAGCCAATAAAGTTAACAATTCGACAATTTATTGCCATTGGCTAAGTTCTTCATTTGAAAGGTGTTTTCTTTGTTATTATTGTTTAGCTTTTATAAATTTGGAAAATTGAACGTCTAAGATAGATTATTTGGAGATCGCGAGGTGGGGTCTGGTGTGACGTAGATTTTAGAAAAATATTTTCTCTATCATGTCAACGTTTCGATCTTTATTTAGACCATCTTCAGAGCTCAAAGCGTTTGTTTTCCGTTTAAATGTGTCATTCTTGTGTGTAGTGTTGAGACTGCCTAAGATAGTCTACTAATTTCTGTATTCTCAATTTGGAGATTAGTTTCATGTGGTGGTTCATAGGTTCAATATTGTAAATGGATAACACATTTAATTTGCAAAGGATACCCTTGATTTAGGAAAGGTTCAAATTGACTTGTTTAACATGATATTAATCATTTAAATTTTGAAATTGATACACAAAGTGTTTGTCAATTTACGTTTGTTAATCCTGTAAATTATTAATAATAGTTTCAAAATTCTGATAAAGCTAGACGAGAGAAACTTTTTTTTACTCGGCCCATCTCTGATTTTTAATGTAAAAAAATTGATTTAGTCAATTGAATATCCTTTTTCGTTCCAAGTTTTCTTTCATTAAATATTTTTCTGAGTTCGTTTCGGACTTTGTTTTTCCTGACGACTTTATACCTACCTAATATTAAAAACGGCAAAATATAAAATTTATAATTTTTATCCTTTTCTGTTTATTAATAAATTTGCGCCACCAGTATTGTTTGTCTTCAAAAGATAGCAAGGCTAATAAATTGTTGACCAAATTTCAATCTTGCAAACGTAGTTCCTTAGAGTAGTCCCTTTTTTATGTTTTCTTTACTAAGTTAGCGGTAAATTGCTGTTATGTCTTTCTTTTCGGACCTTACTGGCTGATTCACAAACAGCTCAATAACTTTTGTCCCAAAACTCTTCCCAGGTAATAAAAAGCGTTGCGTGTTGTATTCTCTCAATTAAAATCATAATAATTATAAGTTCAGTTTAATTTAACAGGTATGTGTACTTCAATAACTGACTCAATACGAAAAACCACGAAATAAAATGTAAAAAATAACTACTAAATTGTACGTTTCATCGTTGATATCATACGGTCGAAATTGTCCAATCACCTCTCAATAATTTTTATTTGAAAAGATAAGAAAAAAATTACATTAAAAACACTTATCAACCCCTTATTTATATACTAAAAAAAAGTCGTATTTTGTTGTTTATTTCAAACTATATGTAGGTATTTTTATCGTTATATTGATTACAACATACTTATTTAAATGTGAACCAAATTAAACGAGATCAGATATTGAGGACTTTTAATAAAAAATATTTAAATATGATGGTTTGTAAGAAAATTCACCAAAACACCGGAAAATCATTAAGTGATATATTAAAATTTAACTAACAATTTATTTTATCATTAATTGATTTTCTGGTGGTTTGGTGAATTTTCTTTGAAACCATCATAATGAAATATTTTTATTAAATGGTTAGGGATAAACCATAATTAATATAAAACCATAATTTGTTGATTCGTGAGGAGCGGTCAAGAATGAGGTAGTTTAAAAGCACCTTGTGGTATCATACTGGTCACAAGAATAGCACCACACTCTATGTGACTATAAAGTACTTCGTTCATAATTTATATTTACATCTTAAATTGTATTTATTCCAATCAACATTTACCGCTTTTTAATTTACCCAGGCCCTGAAGATGACCGGAATAAAGGTCGAAACGTCGGCAAAAAAATAAAAATGGTGTTTTTCTAAACGATCTACCTCATTCTTGACCGCTCCTCACGACTTCAACAAATTATGAACAACCGGTCTCTAGGAAACACACATTTTTATTAAAACTCATAAATTTATGATCTCGAGTAAAATGGTTTAATAGACGCATCATTATTTCAACAGATTTGAAGTAAAAAAGCTTGACAGCATAAATAAATAAAAAAATATTCATTACGGTTATTCTCTTCGAATCCCGAATACATATCTCAACAAAAACCTAACCGTAAAAAATGTTCAAAACCCCCTCCAAAAAAATTAGCTATTAATGTAATGATGTCTACACTGTGGCCAAGTCCGTTCTTTTTCTAGTCCATAAGCTGGGAGAACTCAAAAGAAAAGTACACGGTGCCTTACAAGTTTGATGATTAGACTAAACCCTCCCCTCGAAAGTGGCACTAATTTTGAGAAAATTGCAATTTTCAGATTCTTACCTTTACTTATACCAAATATCTCATTTCTACTTATACGGGAAGTGCCTTATAATTTTGATGATGAGACTACTCCCTCCTCCCCTAAAGCGACGTTAATTTAGGGAAAATTGCTATTTTCAAATGTTTACTTTTTACAATTTAAGACCTACTTTTGGACCTTGTACCAAATTTCGTGTTTCTACCTACACGGGAAGTGCCTTATAATTTTGTTGGTGAGACTACACTCCCCCACTAAAGTGGCACTAATTTTTAGAAAATTACAATTTTCAATTTTTTTCCTTTACTTGCTTTATAAACCCTACCATTGGTATCGAATTTCACGTTCTAGCTATTCGGGAAGTGCCTTATAATTTGGATGGTGAGAGTACACTCCCCCCCCCTATAGCGGCCTAATTTTGAAAAAATGCATTTTTCATTTTTTTCCCTTATTTGCTATATAAAACTTACCTTTTTACTGAATTTCACGTTTCTAGCTATTCGGGAAGTGCCTTATAATGTTGATGATCAGCCAATAACGACAATTCAAATTTTGAAATTCTCCCCTTTCGAAAAGGCTTAATATTAAGTGCTCAAATTTTTACAATGTCCTAAACGGCCTAAGCTTAATACATGTTTCATACTTCAAAAGCCCATCTGAAGAAAACCGGGTGAATTGGTCGTGTAAAGATATACATGGCCAGCATATTACCGTGCACTCAGATAACAAATTTCAAAGACCTTTTTAATAAGGATCACAAAAGATTTACTCTAATAGGATAAATCAACGGCCAATGACATTTTGTGAAACAACGTCAATGTAGCGATTAACGAATAATCAAATAGATCATCAAAAAGTGTGCGGTGGGCATTAAAGTCATGCTTTTTTTTTTATCATCATTGGTTCTATTTTTCGTCCTAAGAGGAAAATTTTGAAATAAACATCTGTATTTGTCTGAGAGTTTGTTGTTTTCGAAAAACAATCGTACGATTCGACAGTTGTATAATCGAAGAGTAGATTATCCTTTATATACATCCACTGTCAATTCAATGCAAAACAAAAACAAAAAACAGTTACAACTCCGCCTAGAAAATGTCGGCGTGGTTAAGGGTTCATTACCGTGTACATATTGCAATTTGCAACTCTAGTTGTTAACTTTTTAGAAAGAGAGCACTAATTGTTTGAGCTGTCGTTAATACCGAAGGGGTTGAAATGCGTAGTTGGAAGGGTGATTGGATGGTTTTCTAAAAAGGAAAGGGCAACAAGTCTCTATTCATAGATCCCATCAGGGCAAAATGTTGGAGATTAATCGCAATTTGTTTATTGGCTGATCTTATAATGTGAAACAGAACTTGCTATTCAACTAAATTACACATTGCCACATCGCCTATTCGTAAATATTATATTGTAAACATGTAATATGTTAATTTTTTAAATGTTATATTTACTAAAATAGAAAAACTGAAGATTTTATAAAAGCAGTAGTAACATTGAACTACCCCACTGAGAAGACACCTCTTCGTAATGGATATCCTACCAGATCCCTTTTGTCGCTTCTGCGAAATAAAAGAAGAAACGGCAAAGCACTACCTCGCAGAATGTGATAGGTNATATATATATATAACATT